CATACCGTTTGTTGAGCATCTTTAATACCCTCAGCAGCAAATGAAACTTGATCAAGGTTGAAGGTCTGATTGTAAAGCATGTCACGCTGCCCTTCATACCTGTCATAACCATACCAGATTGTACAAAATGTGGTGGCAGAAAATTCACACTACTAAGGCAGTACATGTAAGGAATAATGAACATCAAATACAGTGATATTTTATACAAAATACTTCTGGTACAGAAAATGGTGTATAAACTATAAAATAACACTGACATTAATTCAGAAAACTTCAGGGTCAAAGGCATTTGATCAATTCCTTTTACCTAAAATAACACAATCCTATTAAATTAACATGATATGCCATCTTGTTCCCCATTTTCACAAACCTTTCCTGCCAACGTTATTCCTAATTTCTTACCAATTATACTAACTGAAAGTTGAATATGACAATGACTTCAAGAAGAATAACCTACATTCGCTTTTGCTTGAGAACTCTCATGGCTCGAGCTTTAATAGCCCCTCGAGCTGGACCCGGTCGAGTCTTTTTTATCTGCTCCTTATATTTACTCAGTTCAGCATCTAGTCTCTTGATCTTATCATCCACTGTTTCACCTCTTTTATTAATCTGAGAAACAAGGCAAAAATAGTGAATCAGTTAGAAAGAAACAGCCCCCTAGAACTTCAACTCAAACATAATGCAAAGTATAAAGGACTTCCAAGGAGGCATGAAATTGCCCAAAACATAAGCACATATGGCTACCTCCAAAAATAAAGCCCACACATTCTAATAATGTTTCTCAATTCCCACCCTTTTCCCAACCCGAATAAACTGCATTCTCGCAGATCTCTCGAACTCAACTATAAAGCCAGAAGTGCACTATCCTACATCTTTCAGCCACCTACCCTTATTCTAAAGGCTGCAATGATTCACTCACACTTCTTCTACATCATAAAACCCGTACCCATATCACCAAAAACGCATCCCTTTTCTTCACTATTGCAAAGGTTTTAGGAACAATGACTTGGAACCATTACAGAAGCAAACATCAAAGTCTGAAAAAACCCAGTTAATATACGAAGCATAAAGTAACAAAAACATTTAATTCCATGAATAATCCGCAACCCAGATAGATCAGACGCTTTGATATTTCAAAATTAACAGGATTAAGCCTAACACTAATACAGAAAGAATCAATAAAACAAAATCATGAATTCGAAAATGATAAAGAGAGAGAGAGAGAGAGAGAGAGAGTAAAAAACCCTATCGGAAGCATCTTGAACGGACGGAGGAGGCTCCTTATCTTTCTTAGCACCGAAGATTTTCTTCATCTTCTTCCTTCGTTGCCGGTGGAATCAAATAGCGCCGGCCAGGAATTCCAAAAATGGAGGAAGAGACAGGAAGATGGATTATGTAATCAGTTGATCAACCGATGAGACTTCGCCAAAACAAGAAGGTTCCTTAAACGAAAAATATGGTCTGGATTTGCTTGCTCGGGCTAACGAAGATGGCTAAAATATAATAAGCGTTTTGAACTTCATCACCAATAAATTTCTGACGCGTCAGCACGGAAAATTCTACATACTAGTATTTTATGTGAATAATTCACATTTCTTTATTGATTTGTAATCCACTTAAATTTTTTTCCCTTTTTTCTTTGTCAATCTAGTTTTTTTTTTTTTTTCCCATTGCCAATTAAAAACAAAAATCTCTTTTTCATTATTATAAAGAACAAAAAACCATCTTGCAGTTTGAAGAAATTCTCCCAGTCTAGTGATCCAACAATTTCATATAAATTCTTTTTATTACCGCAAAGGTTCGATTCCTTTTCCCCTCCTCCTTCTCCTCTCTCCCAAATTACTTGTCCTAATAAAAAAAAAGAAAAAAAAGCCATCTTGCAGTTTGGAGCCAGACTCGTATGTAACTTTCACTGTCAGATGATAAACCAATTTCTAGTATTAAGGGTTGTGTTTACATCCAGCAATTTATGTTTAGTGGTTTAAATTACAAAACAAATTTTTTTATAAAGAGTCTGTTTATTTTTTGTTTTTTCAAGAGGAGTCCGTTTACACTTTACAGTCCATGATAATACTACCCATATAACACAATGAAAATATTGGAAGAAAAATTTACAGTCCATGATAATACTGTATAACTCAATTAATCATGGTTGGGGAAATCATTGCTGTAGTTGATGCTGGTTTATAAACACTTGTAATGCTCTCATCTCCCATCAACAGCTTCAAGTTCCTTGCTGAAGTGTCAATACATGGTGTGCCTGTTTCTCAGCTCGATGCCCTTTGCTTTGCTTTACTTCCTGTTTATTTAGTTTTTTAACCATATACTTGTCTTTTCCATCTTTCCTTTTTTTCAACTGAATGGGCCGTGAAACGTTGTTTTTTTTCTTTTTTGGCCATGGCTGTGCATTGTGCAACATAGATTAGGCCCTTTGCTTTTTTAGAATCCAATCACTCATCTCAAAATTTAAATTCATAATACAATTGATATTACCTGGAAATATATTAAGCTTCCCATTATTGCCATAATAATACATCATGGATTAGTTATCATCTAAAATTTCTAAATAATCCAAATTGTTGCAGCTAATCATGTTACATAAGATTTGAAGTGGCAATGTAAACTTGTTCAACATAACAATATTACTGAAGGTGTGGAGAAAAAACTGCCAAAACTTCCTTGTAAACATTTTTCTTGAACTCAACTGCCTGCAAAAAATGAGAGATGGATAACAACAAATAAGTAACCAGGAAAGAGAAAAGTTTGATCTTGCTTCTTGAATTTGAAATATACAGTCTGGTACGAGAGAAAGGATTACTCACGTGATCAATTATTTCATCTGGTGACATCCACGACCACTCGCCAAACTCAGGTTTCTCCATTCCATCACCTAAAAGATTGATTTCTTCCTCCTTCCCAGCAAATTTAAGAAGAAACCTGTGTTCTTATAGTTATTATAATCTAATTAGATTAAGCTTCATGTAGCAGTAATATGCGAAGTAATCTGCATCAGGCAATTTCTGGAGAGGGGTGACTTAGAATTGGATTAGGGAAAGGCAGGGGAAACAACCATGGCACAAACTGATTTGGTTCCCTGACACAATTCCTAAACACTGCTTTATAAGTTGGCTCGCTGTTCTCAACAGATTCAACCCCAGGGCTTGTCAAAAGCAGTGGACACACAGTTTGGATGATACTTGTGTTTTATGCAAAAATGAGTCTCAGACAAATGTGCACTTGTTCTTTAAGTACAGCTATTCAAAGGGCATCTCATAGGAGCTCAGCCACATGACAGATATCCCTCTAATGGACTCATTGGAAGATTTATTAGGTTGGTTGGGTAGGAAGGTCAGAAGGAAGTCTTTACATAGCACTCTAATCAAATTATCTTGGAATGTGGCTGTCTATTATATATGCATGGAAAGAAACAGAAGATTGCACCAAAAACAATTCAAAAGTGAGGCAGCTGTACTTGCAGACATCCAGTTTGAAGTTAAGGGTAAAGTCTTAGGATTTGCTAAGCCAGATTCGTCTCTTACACCTAGAGCTATTGCACAGAAATGGGGGCTAGATTTTGTTGTAAAACATTAGCTAGTTCTGATTGGATTAGCTTTGACAGGATTAGTTTTGACATTGTGTTTGTGTAGTTTCTCTTTTCTAGAAGCAGCTGCTATTTTGCTGCTCTGATGTACTCTAGTTTTTTCTGGATAAATAAAGATTTACATTTTATCCAAAAAAGAAAAGAAAAGAAAACTAAGAGTATTGTATCCAAAAGACAACCACACCACCAATAGGAAGCATGCATGTGTGCAAATTTGTGACTACTTTCAATAAAATTTTCTTTTTTTTGCCAGGCAACAAGTTCAACAACAAATGATGAGTGGTGTAGCGGGTGTCTATGAGTAATAATGATATATATAGAGTTGAAATAGTAAACATTTATTTGGTCATCTTCTCGACTTTTATCCAACCTAATAAAATGCAACAGAGTTCAGCATTTAAGACCTATGTCACATGGCAAGTTTAATCTAACTACTTTTGGGCAAACTCAAGCACTCACCACTTTTGTGCTTGACCTTTCCAGTCTGATCCCCATTGAACTTTAAGTTTTTCCCTGACTTCTGGAGGGAAATCATATGTCAACCAATAACGAACCTGCAGGTGACATCCAATAAATGAACCTGGTGGACTAACATGTGAAACAGGAATGCCTAATAGTAAAATATAAAACAAAGGAAGAAACATGATGCCCAAATCTCAATAAATAGCCACAATATTGGACTGAAGATAGATAAGGATTCATCAGCCACTTAAATGTAAAAGAAAAGTTACAATACATATGCCATTTAGACTTTGGAGTTTAGATCACTAAGCATGTCAGACACACAAAATAATCTTATCAAACCTCTTCAAGAACTTCGGCTGAGCTCACACCAGTTTCTTCCTTTAATTCCCTGATAGCTGCATCTTTTGGATCTTCATTGTCATCAATCCCACCCTGTTTAACATAGTTGTGTGAAAATAAAATTAGGGGAAACTCTTATGATTCATCATAAGCCATGGCTACGGGTAACATCTAGAGTTCTTAGACACTAGATTAATAAATATGCAAAATCTATTGGTATAAGCATATACAAAAAATTACGGACTCTTTCCTTTCCCATTGAACATAAGTATAAAAGATAAATATACGGAAAACCAGAAAAACACTTTCATGCACATGTAGACATTTTCAGCAATAAATCATAAAGATGAACAAGAAACGAGGTAAAGCCAGTGACTCATCTTTCACAGTAACATTTTAATCAAAGATTTGATCTTTCTTCCTTACCCCACAAAACCCATAACAACCAAAAAAAAGGATCAGTAATTATCACTCAAAGGTATGAGCTTTTCCTACGCAGTTTCCTGATCTTTCCAACCAATCAAACAAAGCGTCATAGTAAATCCTTGCACGCAATTCCAAAACCATACCAAAAGGAAGGCAACCAATTCAAGAATATTAAAATTATACCTGGGGCATTTGCCAAGCATTGGGTATATCGAGCCTGGAAGCAGCAAAGATCTACAGCAACTCAAATACATAGAAATTCATCATGTAATTATAAATAGAGAATACAAATATGAATATCACAGATAGTTTTGCGCATAATATCAACCTTTTTTGATGAATTGATGAGACATATACCAACATTTCTCCGATAACCTTGCGGAGGAGCATCCATGGAACAGCAAGTGCAGGAGACTGGAGTTTTAGGCGGTTGATGGAGGAGGGCAAGGCTTGTGAATTTGAAGGAAGTGGAAGGGTATATCGGGAAGAAGGAAGAGAGCTTGGAGGGAAAAAGGAGAGGGGGACGATGCTGCGGAGGGGAATAAAAGGAGGATCGGCACAAAGCCATCCCACGACGGAAACGGCAAAAACTCTGGGCTCCCTTTTGTCAGTTGTTGTAGGCTTGTAGCTCAGATTAATTATCATTTTACCAATATAACCCTCTAAATATGGAATATTATTTCTTTTTCTAGAAAAAATGATTTTTACATGCACCTGGACCCCTGCGGCCTAGTGGCAATAGCCACCCGGTGCATTCCCCCACTTCGGACTGGGTTCAAAATCCGCCCCTTGCAAATATGTTAAAAAAAATGATTTTTATACTTTTTTTTTCAAAAAACAGAAGAGATTTTAGATTTTTTTTTTTATGGTAAATGGATTTTGAAATTTGAAATTAGGAGGAAAATATGTTTGGGCGGAGTCATGGATTGAGTTTGGGGCCTATGGGCAGTGTGGAATTGGGTTTTGCCTGAATGGCTAAGTGGCAATTCCTTTTGAAGAA